AAATTATTTTTCAAAATGTTTGTATTCCAAACTAATATTTTTGTTTTATCAATTTTTTTCCATAAATTTTGAAAGCGTTTAAAAATAGGTATAATTGGTCCAGACGATACGTATAATTTCGCCTCGTTAAATTCAGCCTGGATAATCAATTCCAAAACATGATGCCTACAAGCAAAATAAATAATGTCTCTGTTCAATTTATGCTCCAAAAGTGTAGACGACCCATTTAGCCTGCCGGTATTTGATGCAGTAGTATCAAATACAAAACCTTGTACCTTATCAAGCAAAGACCATTTTTCTAAACAATAATATACGTCTGATGATATGTCACTTCCTGTTCCTGATGAGATTTCTGGAACGCTAAGAAGTTGTTCTCCATTTGGCGTTGAGACAATTACTGGAAGACGATCAACTTTTTCTTGATTGGTTAAGCCAGGAAGTAATTTTATATCTCAATGTACAAAAACAAAATCTACATTTAAGCTAACAAAATATGAACTTTTTGAATCTAACTTTTTCTGCGTTTTTTTTTTTTTTTTTTTTAATACTTTCTCGGCTATTTCTAATAGATGTTCTATTAATAATGTATTTAGCCGGATTTAAGAAAAGACTTTCAATACACGCTGTTAATAAATGTACTGCGTCTCTATCACTGACCTTGCACTTATCTAAAGCCGCGGAAAGCCTTGGTGTCATAATTAATTTTTTTACTCTTTGAACTCTAGATGAACAGGGTATATCTTCAATTTCTTCATATTCTGAATTTATACTACATTCTGTGTCCTCCACTTCCTCGGAACTAGTGAATGCCGGTGTTTCAACTATAATATAATAATGTATAATATGATCAATGAATAGAAAGCTACAATAGGTAGTTGAATGTTTTCAGTATTAAAATTGTATTAAAATTATCTAGCTCAATATTTGAAAATTCAGCTTCATACTTTTGTCGTTTGGTTGCCTCTTTATTTTTTCTAATAATTTGTCTTTTTTCTTTTATATATGTTACATGTCAACTCCTAGCAAACAACCTGGGCGATTTGGAATTCTTTGTGAACGTAAAAAATCTTTATCAATTTCGATTTTCATTTTGTCAAATGCATTTGCATGTGCTATGTCAAATAAGTTGTCTAATTTTTTTTTTCAAACTCTTTATTCTGAGATTTGTATGTTTCGCTTTTCCGTTCTTTATGTTTTTCAAGATATCACCATAATTCATACGACTTTTTTAATTTCTTCATACAATCTGCTCGATCTTTTATTGGAATACGTGCTTTTCTCCAAAATATGATACATTCATCAATAACTAAATATGCGCTTTTTCGTTTGATTGGCAGAGTTTACTTATTGCTAATGATGTAGACATATTGGTAGAGAAATTTAACTATAAAATAACTGAATTAATTACTAGTGCTGCTAAAGTTACTACTATTTCAAAAAGTAAATTAAAAAAACCAATAAAATCAAAATATGGATAACTAATGGTCTTCTTATATCAATTAAAAATAGACAAAAACTTTATAAAAAAAAACTTAAATTACCTTTTGATTTAAAACTTAAACAATATTATATCAAATATAGAAATCTTTTGAACCTATTAATTAAAAAGCTTGTTGTTTATATTATAGTGATCTAATACTTTTATCTAAAAACAATATGAAAACCACATGGAAATTAATAAATTAATTCTCATATAGTTCTAAGAAAAAAGAACCTCCAATAAACTGCCCATAGAGTAACGTTTCGAATATTCCTTTAACTAACAAATCTGGTATATTGAATGAATTTAATAATTATTATATTAATGTTGGAAAAAATATTTCTGATGAGATAAGTACTAGTAATTATAATAAATTAAATTGGAATGAATTAAATAAAAATTGCCATATCAATGATTCTATTTATATTGATCCAATATACCCTTTTGAAATTTAAAATTTTGTTCAAAATTCTTCTTATTTTACAAATGATTTGTCTAATTTTATTCTTAAAAAAACGGCTGACACAATTTCAATCCCATTATCTATCATTTTTAATTTTTCAATGGTCTTTGGCAAATATCCTTCTACATATAAAGATAGTATAATTCTGCTTCTTTTTAAATCAGGTGACAAAAAACTATGTAGTAACTATAGACCCATTGCATTAACTTTAACTATATCTAAAATTTTTGAAAAATGTATTAAAAAAAGACTTATTAATTTTCTTAATAAAAATTCATTTTTTCGCCAAATCACTATGGTTTTCGTCCAAATATCTCAATCGCGGACCCATTAGTTAAAACTTCCCACATTATTCATGATAATTTGGTTAAAAAATTCAAAGTTTTGGGTATTTTTCTTGATTTTAAAAAAGCGTTTGACAGTGTGAATCATGAGTTATTAATAAACAAACTTGATTTCTGTGGTATAAGAAGTAGTGCTCTAAACTTAATTAAATATTTTATTTCAAATAGATCCCAACAAGGTAGAATTGAAAGAACACCGATTGATATAAATACCAATAGTTTTTCGGTGCCACAAGGTACTGTTCTTGGCTCAATATTATTTATCATTTTTATTAATGGACTTTTAAATTTAAACCTGAATGCTGATATTTTGTGCTATGCTGATGATATAGTGGATATATATACTCATCCGCATTCAAACTTATTTTCTTATAGGATGAGTTGCAACTATTTTAAATATTTATTGTATATTTAACTTGTTAAATTGATATTGTTGCAATAAACTTTATTATCATTGTTATTTATTATATTTTTCCTAAATTAACTGTAGAAAAAAAGCTAGTTGAAGTTTACAAATTTATCAACCCGATTGAATGCGTAATTCCTTTAAAATATAGAAAATTAACTCCCATAAAGCTTGAATTATTCTGATAAAGTTACACATTTTCAAATAACTTTAGTGGTGTCCAAATCAAGAACTAAAATGACTAAAGATAGATTAAATTAATACTTTTAACTATAGGACAAGGATTGACAATACATTTAAATCCTGAGGATATTATTAATAATTTTTCTTGAGTTTATTTAATTGTTTGTTATTATATGATAAGGTTTTTGTTAAAATTTTATTTTAATCTTTTTTTCAAGTTTTTATTAACAATACACAATCTGTACATTTTTTTTAAATAAGCCATAAGCAGTGATGGGACTTATCTAGATAGATTTTTTGTCATCTTTTATCTTATCTATATAAATAACGCTAAGTTATCTAATTACTTATTTGGATAATTGTCTGAATTCTTGCCAAGATTAGAGTTATATTTATTTTTGTACGGAGACAAATCCAATAAATCAGATATCAAAATCGGTCCAGCCGTCCTTGAATTATAAATTCTGTAACTAACCAGATATTTTTTTTATATATATAGATTTTGTATTCATAATTATAATTCGTGTATTATTAAGTAATTATTATTTCTTGGTATGACATTTTTTTTGTATTTTCATGTCGGTAAAATTTTTTTGGTGTTTTTAAACTTAATTTCTTACTTTTCCATGGAAGTTCCAAATATAGTAGGTATTTGATTTTAGTATACATACATAACTTATACGTTGAATAGTCAATACTTCACTCTTGGAACCCGTAAAATCATAACTACTTATAAAATAATGAAAATCATCAAATTAAGATTATATGGAAAACAATATTGTTAACTTAAAATAATCTCTTCTGTATTCTGTATTCATCATGATACTTACTAAGCAATTTTAATTGTTTTTTTTTTTTTTTGTATGACATTTTTAGTGATTAACTATCATTAAATATTGTCATTTTATATAAATATTGCTTAATTATACACTACATTACTACAATAAACATTAAACACTTAGGTACCTATTGATAATAATGATTATAATTGAGTCTTCGTAGATATTATTATAAATATGAAATATTGACCAAAAAATAACATTTTTTGAAAATATATTTTTTTTTATCTAGATAAATTTTGCATTATCTATTCCCAACACTGGCCATAAGTATAAGTGTATAGAATTGTTGATATACAAATATTGACTGTTAAAAGAAGCCACCCACCACTTTTAAACTTGATTAATTAATATTGTAAGTTAATTTTGATTTATGAGATTGTTTAAACGGTTTTAAAGTTAATTTACTAAAATATCTACGATTTTAATAAGATAAAAATGCATAGTAATCTTTTAAAAGATCCAAAATGTGTCACGAGGCAATCAGGATATAAGAAGAATATCGATTAAGCCTGAGTTCCTGAAATTATTATTGTGTTTATCCTCGCATGTAAATTTCTTATAATTTATATACATTTACTTTTATATACTTTTATAGGGATCAAAATATCTTTATTTATATTTTATATTTTATTCAATACCCAAGATTTGCTAGTGAAGAAACCACTCGCAGTGACCATACTTCCATTAAAGTTATTATTAATTTCATTAGAGTACACGAGCACCAGTTAAATATAAAAAATAATCATAAAAATATAATTTATAATATAAAAAAAAATATAAACATAGGCACAATTTAGGGGGGGGGGGCTTGAGTATGCTTAGCACCCCCATTTTTGAAATTAGACATTAACCTATGCCTACATTAGGCGGAATTCACTGTATTTTAATTGCTTCTTATAAATATTTATATTCAATTGAAAACAAAGATATAGGAACTTATTCAGTTACACTCTGTCTTGAATATTATATGAATTTTCCTCCATGTAAAAATAAAATTACACCCATTATAGTTATTATATTTTATAGTTTTGTAAATTCATCATAATATCAGTTTTTCTTAATCTTAAATATGTTACCTACATTATTAATTATGCATTTTATCATGTATGCGACGATATAAATAAGAAATCAATAAAGAGAAATATACAATAATATAATCATATTATATATTGCAAGAAAAAATATATAAATATTATGTGAACAAAATGTAAAATGTTTTTAAAGTAATGAAATAAATATAGAAAAAATTTTTAAGAAATTAAACATTTATATAATATTTTAAGTCATCTTCAATATCGTTGATTATGTAATTCATCTTCGGTGAGTTGGCGTTAACTTCTTCATTTTGATGTATTTTATTGAATCTATAAAATATTAAAACAGATAAATTTTATTTTATAATAAGAATTCAAAAATATTAATATTTATCCTAAAAATACCATTATCTTTGACAAGTGGTTTGCTTTCAAAAGAAGCTTTTAATCTGATTTGAATGTTTTCAAACAATGCTGCAAGAGTTATCGATAAAACAAAATTAGTTTGATTGTTTTTCAATAAACATATTATAATAGAGGATAACAGTTGAAGAATATATTGTAAATATTAAGATTAAATTATATTTATTTTATGTTGGAATTTAAAATAGGAAACAAAATTGGAGAAAAAAAATTCGTTTACTACTTCTAAATTAATTATTTAATTTAATATTAAATATTAATTCATTAAAATAAATTAAATTATAAATTTTATAATTCTATCGTGATTAAATATTTCGAAATTATAAATCAAAATGTCGATCGAAAATATCGATCGACATCCTCCGTATAAGATAAGTGTATATGTTATATGTATAATATTGTTAATATTACCTATATGTAATAATTATTGTTGCTCGATACGGGTGCTCGTTGAAAATTTAATATTTATATTCAATAAACGGGTCATTAGCAAAATTAAAACAGAATAATCCTAAAAATATTCATACTTCACTTATTGAAACTGTTCTATTTTAAGGAACAGAGGAGTTTATAGAATTATCCCTTTAGAACTCAGAGCTAAATAAAATAAAACATAAAATGAAGTACTTGGAGGTATCCGTTATTTGTTTTAAAAATAGTTATTTTTCTATTATTCCACCTATATCATATATTTATACAATTTTCTTAAATAATATTTTTATTTTTCAGTAAATTATTTTAAGTCATTATTTTGATTACAAACTTGGTCTCATACTGGTTACATATAAAACTACCGAACGATGCTCTTACAAAAATTGTTCATTGTATATTTCATGTAGAAATATAAAAATGTTAAACGATTATCTATTTAATATAATACTTTTATATCTTTAGAACGTTTTTTTCATAAAATTGAGACTGCTTATAATTATTAGTTCTTATAAATAATTTATGAAAATTGAAATGTTCCTTATCTGAAATATGTCCTTATCTATACAATTTATAATTGATTATAATTTATAAATAATATTTACTAACATATATCAATTGTATCATATTCTTACGGTTGTGTTGAGGAATCGTCTGTCGGTTGAGATTTTGGCTCTTCAAGAATTCTTCAACGTTTTTGAGGTAATCGTCGTATGCAAAAAGATTATAACCTCTTATCCAATGCACACGACATTTAACAGATATTCCTATGGAAATTAAAAATAATGTTATCATTGGTATCAAGATCTTCTAAAAAACACTATTTCATCTATATACATCGTACACTTTTTACAACTTACCATCAGAAAACAAAAGCACTTTCTTTTGTATCCTATTCACGTTTCTGTTATAATTATTCGTATTCGTCTAAAACAGATTATTAACATACAAAATTAACTTGCAAGTGTGAATTGGACAATGAACCGATGATTATAGTTATGTCTAATTATTGTAAACGTTTAATGATATAAAAAAATACGTACTCCGGGACCTAGGAAAGCCAAAATTGAATTTGACTCCCTGTCAATACATATTTGTTCTGTATTAATTTTATTAAATATTTTATTCTCTAATTGGTACAGCTATAAAAAAAAAATAAACATTATATGGGTATTGATGCTCTCATAACACGATCTGTGGACTTACATCTGACAATTCATGGTCCTTCGTTAACCTCATTAAGACTTTCGGCGCCACTCTACTTGCCAATTTGGTTAACTTCACCATTTCCTCTTTAGTCATGTTCACTGGTGGTGACGTGACGATGTCGTCTGCCCTCTGCATCGAGTGAGCATTCACAAAGAAGTCACCCGCCAGGAAGGCGATTCGGTCTTCGACCCCGTACACACAAACATTGTTCCGGGCGAACGCGATTTTGACCGGGTCACTGTCCATCGCAATGACTACATTAAAAACGTGAACCGTTACGAGTCCAATGTTAGTATACATTACGATTTAATATACAATTAACGTGTTAAATAATATGATAATAATTGTATTTTCATGTTGTCAGCAATATACCTTTGCGGCAGACCATGGCCAGTTGGATCGCAATCGCACCGGAACCGCAAAACGGATCTATCACAGTACCCAGCGACTTACACCGGGAAGCCATCAGTTTTGCCAAAACTTCTGAAGGTCCGGAGTAAAGGGTCACTGTAAAATCGTAAAATGATGAAAATACAAACGAAGTTGATACTATAAATAAAGACGTTCATCTGTCTAACATACCTGGGTCTGCCATGATGCAGTCGTTGAATTTCGAAAATCGTGCAAACCGATTTTCCCATAATTTATAGGTGACGTTCAATTCCTGGGATAGTACGTCGTGATTAGTAAACATTGGAGAGTTCATTCAGATAATTAGATATATTAGGAGATATATTAGATATATTAGATAATATCCTGTTGATTAGTATCATGTAGTATGTATATGTTCGTTTGGTGTTACCAGGGCTGGGCAGTATCTTAGATACTAGTATTTAAGATACGTATCTGAGATACAATTGTATCTTGTATCTGGTATCGTGGATTTAAATACTTTTTAAACTTGTATCTAGTATCTTTTTATGATTAAAGACTAGATACAATCTATTGTTATGTAATAATAATTATTAATAATTTAGATTAAAGTTTTTTACGTCAAAGGCATTCACTTGATAAATGAACAATATATACAATATTTGCTCATAATAAAGATTATATTTTATATAATATTTATTATGAGAAAATTTTGTAATCAGTAAGTTATATAAATCCAGTTTATCGGCAGAATGTTTTCTTAATTTTATCGCGCTAAGCATTTATTTTAGACTGTGTGATTGTGCGATGATCGGTTCATATTTTCTGTCTACGCAGTATTTGTGTAGTGTCGTCCGATTTTAAGTATCTATTACTAAAAACATAGATAATAATGTAATCGATAATATTCCAAAATCCTTATATGGAACATTCTATACAATATTAAATGTTGATGAAATAATAAATGTAAATTGAAAATTTAAATTATTTACTATTAATAATTATAAATATTTATTAATAATTATTAGGCTTAGGGACTTATAGCTCTAAAAAATACACAAATATGCATGCAAATATGCTTCTAAAATCATTTTAATATGCATTTATATGCATTAAAAAAAAAAATGACCACATAGTACACAAAATAAAACGTGTTTAACGGATGTAAATGTATCTTTAAACTCCGAAACAAAGCTTTGTAGTCGGCTACAAGTAGACTGTTGTACTTTCGGCATTACACAATATTATAAAATATACACGTACGACGTTTTACGTATGATTCGACGTTGTGTGGTTGCGAGATGCAAAAACAACGACAAATATTTTCTTGAGATGAGTTGATGTTGTTGATGGTATTGATAAGTTTACACTTGAGATACCTTGACGCAAAATCGTTCTGCTGTTACGCAAGGCAATGTCGAATGTTATCGTAATCAGTTATTCAACAGTTATTTATTTATTTATTCAAAAGTTGCAATATATTTGCCGGGTAACGTTTAAAGTAGGTTACGTAATCCATATCGTAAATGGCCAGTGCAGAAAAAATACACTACTTGAAATCAAATTTATTAGTTAAATAATAATAAATAAAATGTTCTTCTTTCTGCATATAATACTAATGTATCTATGGAATCTCGTGATCGGAATCACAAAGATATACTAGATGTGTTTGTAAAACAGGATGCAAAAATAATAGATGTACTTATAAAAATATTAATATTTTATGCAATTCAAATTGGCACGGTATAATAATACAATGTTATGTATAATTATTACGAACCTAATTTTAATATTTCGCTAAACAATAATATCTACATTACATATCAGTATTAAATATTAATAATATAAGGTAATTTCCTATTCATAGTTGTAAATGTGCCAACAAAATATTCAATTTTTACAACATTCCCTATGTTGTCAATTAATGCCTAGGGCATTGATGATATCATCTATTAATGTTAAGCATTTAAAATATTAGCTAAACATTTTTGTTATTACCTAATTTACATCTTTTACGATAACATATATAATATATATATACTCAGTATATATTAAATATTAATTGTAGTGTATTATTTTATTTCAACTATTTTGCACAGAGCCCCGCAATTTGTAGCGCCGGTCCTGAATTATCTCTCTAGAAATTATTAGTATCGCTAAACATAAATTCAACAAATCTGGCCAGAGAAATGTAGTCCACATTTTTAATAAAACTGCAGAAACACCAAACCGTGTTAGTAAAATTAAAAAAAATACTAAATAATTCTAAGACTTTAAAACCTATACCGTATAATAATAATAAAAATATTATAGTATAATAAAAATAAAGCTAACGCTTCGTTAGCCTTTTTTATTGAAAATAATTCAACTAAACAACAATATGTTAATATTAGATTGTCCGCAAAAGCACAAATATTATCACTATCAACTTTCGATTTTCAAATGGTAATACCTATTTTCGATAACGATAATTTATAAACATATTGAAAAAATAATTTTAACGTTCTCAGAATTTAATTTCAGTAATCCGTTTGTGACTTATTACCGTTTAAATATTCGTTCAATTGACTGCTACTGGGCCATTTATCAAACTCAACAGTAAAAACCAGAAGTCAAAACGGAATGATATCTCAATTTAACAATACCCATAACGGTTTTAATCGATAATAACTTTTAAGTACTTAATAAGATAGATAAACAATACTGCTAGAAAAAAAAATGTCCTATCAACACTCCCACCAGCAAGGCCTTAACTGGGGGGGGGTCCAGGGGTCCGGACCCTCCCGAAATTTTCAAAAGTAGAAACATTTTAACGGTGAATATAATTTATATATAAAATTATATTGAATAATAATGTTAGACTCCTCCCCACCGAAATATTTTTCCAGTTTAACCTAACGGCCTTGCCCACCAGAACACCGTGTGTCAGTGAGCGACTAGCCTACAGCAACACGGCTGAATCAGCTATAAAGTATAAAAATAATATATTACAATTTACCACCATGGTTACATAATATACCACTGGTTACTGATTCCTGATATACGATCTTATCACGTATTATCTTAGTAGATAAACGATAATAAATGCCGGTTAGCGAAATTTTAAAACATGTCACGGCGAATTTAACCTACAGATATCTATATTATACTAGATAACGAACTACCGATGTTTTCCATTGGGAGAAGTGAAGACCGGGGACGCAAGATTATCATACGTCCGCCATGTTTTCGGTTGGCAAAACAATATTACTTTGCACTATATAAAATAGTTGAACACACTAAATTATTAATTAAACATTTTTCATTACGTTTAATCAAAATTAAATTTCATTACAGAATTGAGAATATTAATTTAAAATTGCACTATTGATTATTTATATAATGTATATAATATATATTGATTATACTCGTAATCAATGAGTATACAATAAATAAAATTACTTATTTAAATACACAAAACCAAATCACTATACTTGCTATATTTGGTTTTAACTATTATATATATATTAAATAAAATATATAAAATATATGTTTATGTACTGATATACTGTAGTAGGGTTTGTTTTCCAAGTTTGGTTACTAACCTTAGCGCAATCGATTGAAAAGCCTGGATCGGCCTGATGTTCGAGAGCTTTGCTGGACCCCAGATTGCTATTCCATAAGACCAGACTGGTCTTATGATTGACTTATATATAATAAGTTTGTTTTGGAGTGTTATTTTGGAGTTTAGGAGTGGTCGGAGGAGGTGAAGTCTTCTGTTCGATGATTTTCTTTTTTCTTTTTGGTGGAGGCCCCAGGTTAGTCTTTTATCAAGCGTTATGCCTAAGTACTTGATTTTGGTTTGGACAGGGATATGGGCGTTGTTCATAATTAATTTAGGGCACTCACAGAGAGATTGTTTTAACGTAAAAGTAACTTGCACAGACTTTTTCGTATTAATTTTTATTTTCCATTTTTTGGCCCATTCTTCAATTTTATTAGCATGATCCTGGAGTTCAGCTGAAGCTAGGATAGGATTTGTACTGGAGGAAAGAATAGCTGTGTCATTAGCGTATGTTGCTAGAATGGTGTTACTAGATTGAGGGATGTCTGCTGTGAATACATTATATAGATCAGGTGATAGATCACTACCCAGTGGAACTCCAACATATACTGGGTGAGTAGATGAAATATTGTTACCCTGTCGTACGACAAACGAACGATTTTGTAGGTAAGATTTGATAATAAGATAGTAGGGAGCTGGCATGAAAAGTTTTAATTTGTATAGTAAGCCATCGTGCCAGACTTTATCGAATGCTTGAGCAATATCTAAAAAAAGTCGAAAACAGTATTCTTTATTTTCGAGAGCAGTTGAGATTTCATCAGTAAGACGATAAACTTGATGGATTGTTGAGTGCCTGTTTCGAAAACCAAATTGATTATTCGGTATGATATGGTTTTTTTGAATGATGGAACGTAATCTTTTCAGGAGGGCCTTTTCGAAAAGTTTACCAATGACTGGAAGTAAACTTATGGGACGGTATGACGAAAATAAATGTTTAGGTTTATTTGGTTTGTGTACAAGTATAAATGACAGCAAATTTCCAAATTTTAGAGAAGTGGGACAATCTTAGTATAGAATTATATATGTGGGTGAGCAATGATAAAGTTTTGAGAGACAGATTTTTCAGAATTTTGTTTGTAATGAGGTCATTTCCAGGTGCCTTGCCGGGAGGTAATTTTTTAATTATATACTGAATTTCACCAGGAGAGAAGGGTGTTTGCGCCGCAAACAGATTTTAAATGTGTTATATTCCCGCCGTTTTGTTAATGTTGTATTCGTTGGTTTTGGTGTACGTAACGTTTGGTATCGTGCGTTTGCTGCGGTGCTGTCAACAACAGCATCAGCTGATTGTGTGCTGACGGCCCGGCGCGTGCGTTCCACCGTTACGTAATTTGTTTTAGTTATCTCGAATCGCGTGTGTGCGTTCGAAATATTGTCAGTTATGTTTTGTAAAAGTTTCAAATCATGCTCTCAGTGCCACAAAGTTCATTAATTTCGAGTGTTTTTCTATTTTGTGTGGTGGCACTGGGGCATTTTATCTTCATTGTGGTGTCCGGCGGCCTTAGCCTTCGTGGTGAATGTCGTCGGCCCCATCTCGCTCTCTTCCGTGTGTCTTCGTGGTGTGCACATCAACATTCGGTTTGTCAAGGTTTTTTTCGTACGTCTGCAGCCATTTTTACTAAACCACGTTGTCTTGTGTTGTTCCTGTTTATTGACCGTCTGCGATCATTGTGAATAAAGTGGTT